AACAAATATCAACAAAATTTAACGTGGAGTTAAACTTATGTTGTCACATTGATTGCATCTTACGTGATACTATTGTATCAAGAAACTAAAATAACATGTCATGTGCATTATGATAATTGTTGTATGTCGGTTCGAAATTAGAAATATCTATCAATAATACAACGACAGCATACTCTCTTTGATTGTGACGTAACCTCCATTACTCGATAACTTTACGAATGCACTTCAAGCACTCAAACTGTCGAACAATGCTATTAGAAGAATTTCTTAACATCCTGAAGGGAATAGTATTATGAAGTTTTTGATAGCGACGACCATGAACTGTATATCTCTTTAATCAAGAAATAGTAAGATTAATAATAGTCTGCGATTAATGTAAGCACGGCAATATTGGTTTGGACTTTGCGCGCATTTCTTCTGCAACAGGACAATACAGAGAAATATTTAACCTTATTACAGAATTTTTTGAAGTCAAGAGAACAAATTTAACGCGGCAATCTAAACATATTTTTCTTAGAGTATGGTTTGATTTAGAATGTGATTACCAAATTCGGAAATTTCGAGAATAAAAAAAAAGTAGTTACTAAGTTGTATATCAATGCCTAGTTCTATTTGTTATTCTATAAGTGTACAAACGCCGAGTCCCAAGAGCGTGCACTTATGAAGGTGCCACTATACCCTCTTTTGAAAAAATACTTTGTAATAGGAAATAACTGCTTACTGCGATATGTCACAAACCGAGTTTCTAATTGGCATCATCACAGTCAATTCAAACTACCCAAAGACACATGCCTCACATACACCCGCAACCTAATAAATCATTTAGCTTTACCCACTCTTTCACAACATATTATACAAACCATAGACTTCCATGTTTTTGTACAAATAAGCTCGTCGTATTCTCTAATGCAATAATTTTACGAATTTTGCTGCTATCGTACCTGTCACCGGAGGCCCACATATAGCAGAAATCACCCACTGCATCATATGACATTCAACTTATATATTGAATGACGCATTATTGAGCCGGTGAAACCAGTTAAAGATAAGCCACACAGCGAAGAAAATAAAGTTTTAGTATGCTGAAAAATTATAAAACACCGCTATCTCTCTTTTCTAACAGTGTTTATATTCAAACCCTGTTCTGTCTTTGACTCTGAAGCAATACGCTGAAAAGGAACAAATTGTTTGAATATTTTCGTTGTCCAATATTAATATGTTACGTATTTGTAATCGGGGCGGCAAAACTCTATAATATATTGATTACAACATTCCCCAAGGCCAACATTTTAGTACTTCAATATGTTTACTAGCCGTTGTCATAAATTATTATGGAAAATGCTATTACCTTGACTCCAATATAACGCGCTAGTATATTAACTATAAATGCATGAACAGAATCATGTCTGTCTACCAATCAAAGAAAGGCAGTTATAGTTAAGCGTTATGCGAACAAGAAAAATCCCTCATAACATAATTGATAAACAACGCAAAAAAATCAGCTGCGAATTATTTCTCTATTAAATGCATATATTAAAAAATTATATCACATATTCATTTACTATTACTGATACCTTGACAAAGTAGAATCGATATTAAAGTAAGACACATAAACTATGTTGGCAATATCTTTACAATGAAAAAACGAGTTTCGTTGAGATTACCCTTCACTTTTTTGTTTATAACTAGCTCTATATAGTGCATTTATACAGAAACTTTTGATTAATCTTATAGCGGAGGAATGTTCTTGGTTAATTACAGTCTAGATACTTATTGTTATTTTATTAGTTATATTAAAAGAGTCCATAATGCTGGTTCATTTCTGTAGTTTGTTTTGATATACGAGTATCCACAAAAAAAGAGAGAAATCTCACTTCTAGTGTATACGTTTATAGCAGTAAGCTAAAATTTAGCTCAATCAATTTGGTTTGAAAGTATTTAATAATGCTAAACTGCCGCTTGTTTCCAATAACTTTAAAAACCCTCGCATTATTATCAGCCTCTTATTTTTTAAAATAAAAGTCCCTTGCTTTATTACTTACTTCGCCCCCAGTCAAAGCAAAACATTTTTAAACTGTAAAGGTTTCATCTCTTCTTATTCTGTTTTCTTCTTCAAAAAATTTTTTTCTCTAATTGACAGATTATTATCACTGCACTATATATAAAATAAAATAAAACTCTATTACTATTGGCTTTTTTGTCTCCATTATAAAGAGAGTTATGCATATTTCTAAATTTTTGTAATTGCACCAATTTTCTGTCATTCTAAATTTCTTCATACTTTATTTCTAACTAAGTAAAAATTTATTAATATGCACAATAATTTTCAATACAGACATATAGTCACCAACAATTATGACAATTTACCAAATTAATTAATTTTTATAACTGAAAATATTTCCCAGTCCAACCATTTAAAAGATTCTATGGCAGATCTTATTGGATCTGGTATGATGATTTTTTAGAATAAGGTACAAAATACTTTCCACCAAAACGTAAATCAGTAGAAAAATTAGGATAATAAACTTTATGTTCACAAACAGCATGCTGACTATCAACAACAAAACTCACTATACTTTCATCCAAACTATCTTTATTTAATAAAAATATAAAACTTTCTGAAGTTTGAATCCAATTACTACCCGAATAACTCGAAAGTGAATAAGCACGCCGCCAAGCAATTGGATTGTATCCACCAAGTATTCTTCTGTGCTCATCACTTTTCCAACAGCTATTGTGGGCCCTTTCTCAGCACACATTTGTCGAAAATTTTCAAATGTATTACCATCCCTACTGTGCCTATAAAGTAGGGCAAATTTATAGAAGCAACTGTTCTTCCCAGAGACTCTTTGATTTTCTTGGTTCCTCTTTGTTGATTCCATTATCTTTTGTGCAATCCATGCTGCTTGTTGTTTATTAATGATAACTGAGTCAATATCAGCACTAACATTAAGAGGTTTGTCCTCTTCATTAGTCTTATTATTATTGTAAATTGCTTGACCTTTCCTTGAGGGTAAAACTATTAATTTTGGTTTGTAATCTTTATTCATATGATAAAAAACCATATCGCGCCGCAAGTCTTTTGTTAATAACTCATCGTATGGAACAATTTTCTCCTGAAAATCTTTAGACGAAATATTGAAAAACCTTATATGTTGAATATAATCAGATACAATTATTCTGACTTTAGTAACATCTTCAGACGACCAGCTATCCGGTTCATTTATAAGTCCTGGAACTTGATTTGTAGCCCATTGTATTACTGATGTCCAAATATCAATTTCTTTCATATTAAGTTCCTCTTGTTTGAGAAGAGTAATCAGGGTCTCTTTTGGTAGACTCGCCAAATTATCAGATTTAAAAATAATCTCTGGAGACGATAGCATAATGTTGTTGCAGTAATTCAAAAGCTTGTTTAATAAACTTGAGGATAAGGCATATTTATGAACTGCAAAAATGTTGCGTTGTATCCATTCCTTCTGGTGACGAACCAAGTAATCTCCAACTGTAATAACAAAGTTATCTAATTCGAATCTGCAAGCGACATCTAAAAGACTGATCCAGTTGATGACCTCCCTTGAATCGTAAGTCGCTTTTCCAGTGTAAATAAATCTATAAGCACAGAAGATTATTGAGTAAGCAATCATTGCGAAATGACTGAATTGTTTATATTTAGCACTTTACGTTAATAAATATTTACCTACGTAAAACTTCAAAGACTTCGGATGTTACATCTTCGAAAGCTATAACTGTCCGTTGAAACTCTTCTGTATTTTCAACCATCATCTTTTCAAAATACCGTATGTGCTTCTCGTGCACAATACCACTGCATGAGCAAGAAAGATTTTATTGTTTGGCTCTCTTCCAACATTGATCGAAACATCTGTATATTTGTTGCTTTCATAAAGCTTTTCATAATCCGATGAAAGGTCTGAAGACAGGTCAACTATATCAATTAAGTTAGTCATTTCGAAATGTTCTCCATTGATGAATTTGATCGATCGATTATTTGCGTCATGTATGTGTAACATACTATACAGTATTGTGTAATTGCATCACCCATATTAATATCTCGGGCTTCAATTACCTCTTCTGGTAAAGTTTTATAGGGCTTTTATACAACCGTTTTCATTTTATGCCCATGCGTTGTATTTAAAATTGCGCCGCAGTATTCTAGTAAATTTTACCTTCATCACTTGATCCCAACGATCATCGTCGTTCACGAGCCTCTTTTTTCCAAATCAATATTTTGCATTAACCTCTATTACCTTTTATGGTAAGTTTTCTGGAAATTCTATACGACTATTTTTATATACTGTTATGCATAGCCAACGTAACTTTGCCTGGCCTGTATTATGTGTGTATTTATAAGCAAAAAAACTAGAGGGTGATGGTGCAGCCTGCGGGTAGGTCTAGAATAATTGGTTTTTAAAATTGTATAATTTTCTTCCTTGTTGTAACAACTTTAATAGACAAGTTCTTCAAAGGCCGGTTCCATGTGTTTAGATGACTGAGTATAGCTTTTTTATTGTAGCATAGCTAGTCAAACTTAAAACAGCTCCAGTATGTTCAAGGTATTCATACGTAGTAACAAGTGGCATGTTTGTGAGAAGATGTGTCCATTTTTTCTAATATGACTGTTGGGAAATGGAGATAGAGCACATGTATTCTACATTTAAAAATTTTACTGGTTATTAAAAACCGTTCTGAACTGGTTTCACAGTTTGGAACCGAGAACCGGAAAGACCGGTCAAGTATAAGGTTGAAAATAAAATCGACGAGTGTAGCAGTCATAATTTATATAACCGAAGTATTATAGCGGTATTATACTATCATACGATGGAGAGCATGCTGCAAATTTAGGTCACCGACCGACAAAGTTAAACTGATTGGTCACAATACATTTGTAGATTTATTTGATTAACAAATAAAACAAGTGTTCGAATTAATCTTACAATAAATAAAAATTTTATCCAAATAAAATGACTTAAAGTCCAGGATTATTTCTGCACGGTAATGGTTGCTGAATCAATAGTTTGATTATTGTGTTGAACTAGAACTTGATCCCCAACAAAGTTATCAAATAATACAGGAAAAGCAGGCGTAAAAACAGCAGTGCCCGGTGGTGTAACCTGTATCCTTATATCGGGGAAAGGGAACGAAAGATCACCAATTTGTAGAACGTAGTTCTTAGGATTAGAATCCGTGATGCCTTTTGTAAACTGGCCATTCAAGCCAGTACCACCAGTGTCAAGTTTTGTGAAAGTAATTTTCCCCCCGAGATTATTGAAATTAGCAACGGCTTGGGTGCCAGTGGCAAGATCACGACGTACGATATATGCGTGTGAGGATACAAGACAGTATAAAAGTATGGTCAAAGTTACTAAGAAAGGAAACGGTTTACTTTTTAACAACATTTTTTGTCGTTTAAAGTTGTTGGTAAGTTCAATTGGATATAGAATGCAGGAAAGATTATCCTCTCCAGAAGAAAAGAGACGTACCTTTTATATTTAATTTTTGCTTGCTTATAGTTTATTTACCTAAATTAAACACCGTAATTGCACACTTTGGAGGTACCTAAATGGTAAGTTCCGTGATTTAAAAAAAGATCCGATCCGATGTTAAATGGTCTTCTTAGTTCATTTATACAGCGAATCCGACTGGTACTTGTGGTTTTTGAATACAACATTATAAACCAAGTAAGACTTTTTTAAATGAAATTAATTTCGAAATTGTATTTGGCTTGTGCGCATGCTCAAACTCGACTGGTAAAAATTTTTGATCAATGCAACGCATGCAAGCTAAAAAGGTAGAATCCCCTGCCAAAAAGTCTCGTCAAATCAATCAGTAAATTACAGTCAAACCTGTTTATACCGGACGGTTTGGTCCAGCTCTTAGCGTCCGGTATAACGAGATTCCGGTATATGTGC